AGCTGCTTGTGGTAGATCCCACCATGGAGTTGATTGCCAGTCTCATCATGGGGAATAACTACTACCAGCTTCCCAGCCACTCAACCAGGCCCAGCCAAGTTGACATACAAACATAACTAACACACAGTGTTTCTAGAAGAAAGGATTGGGATGTTTGTGGGGAAGATGGTAAAGGGAATGAAGAAAGGGTTAGGGATTGACAGTTGAAGAGAAAAATGAAATGGTGTTCAGCTGCAGTTTACCTCAGGCTCCTCCTCCTGCCTGTGGTCCAGCAGCAGTTACTTTCTTTAGAGGAAGGGGCTATTATGTGTGCAGAGAACAAAGATGGAATTTACTGCACCAAGTTATTCATTGTGCATAAGTTACTGTGACTAGATGGTTTTCTGAGCCATGTGCTTGGAGATAGAAATAGCTTTGTAGCAGGTAGTCTCTATAGTGGTTTTCATTGTAATGGGATTTTTCCCCATGATCAGAGGTCAGGTGATCCACCTGGCTTCCTGTTAAACTTTGGATTTCTCCTTCAATAAGTCATATTCTAAAAAGACTGGATAACTAGGTTGTGTTTATTGGTTGTGCCCCACAAGTCGAAAAATGTATTAATTTGGGGAAAAACAAACAAACCATACTACTTCTCCAAGACTCCACACTGCTACCAATTCTTTTTGCCGGCAGTGTTTAGTTTGAAGTCTTTAAAATACCATTTAGGGCCTTTTGAAATCTGACCCTGAATTATATGTCCAGTTTATACCCTCCCAAGCCTACTACCCGAACCTGTGCCCACATTAGAATGACTAGGATGACACATCATGTGTCACCTGGATGACATATCCAAACACATCAAACCCTTGTGATGATGTCCATGCTATTTCCTCTTCCAGAAATGTTCTCCCTGCCATTTTTTTAAAAATTTTATTATGATTTGAGTGAAAGTTTACAGAGCAAATTCATTTTCCATACAACAGCTCACATACACTTTGTCTCATGACATTGACTCCAATTTCCCGCAGTGCAACAGCTCCCGTCCCACTTCCTCCCCGTAGTTACCTCTTCCCTGTGTCCTTCCCTCCATGCACTCCTGCCCCCTGAGCTGTCTCCCTGTGCATA